TTTTCGGTTGACACCTTTGAGTGTATGATCGTAGCCTGTAGTTATAACCTGAGTCACCTGGAGGGAGAGCGAGAATTTGTGTATAGATCTATAAGGGGGTGACACCCCTACACCTTAGTTGTTCGCTACAGCTAGACTAGGACAGTCTATAGCGACAAACTCTACCTTAATCAGACCGGCGCCTGAAAACACCAAGACAGACGAACTAGTCATTATCAAGCATGGTTGTAACGGCTCGCTTAGAGATTAACTCCAACAAAGATTTCAGTATACTTATACAAATCTTGATGACATTAAAAGCATACATCGACACTCCGTTTTGGGAATTCACGACTACAATACTCTTAAAAGCAGAAAATATCAGATTTTTTTGGGATGAATACATTTACACATTACTCTTACTTACGACAGAAAATACAGAATTTTATGGGCTTCATTTCATATACATTTCCAAAAACAGAATACACACATGCACTAATACCTAATTTTGTCACATCACATTCAAACAATTTTTTTAGAAAATATCGGATTTTCTGGTGTTTTACTAACCATGCAAAAACTTTTATTCAAACATGCTTATGAACTTACCAACATTCTTGATGTTGACGTTTTCAAAATAACTTGTGTTCTCAGGGAATCGTTAAGTGGACAGGTCAACAGGGAATGTGGAATTTATTACATTTTTGTTATTATCATACATTAAACTTTCTTTTGGCATGTAACTAATGAAATTATACTTGATGTAAACAATGTTGGTTGTATTTTGATATGTATGATGATGGTGTTGACTTGTTTCAATTATAGACATTGTGATGATATCACAAGATGAAGTTATGCACAAGCCCCCAAACGTTTCTGCCATCTGGTTCGGGGTGTGACAAGATGAGATGAATGACGAGAGTTGAAATATGATATAGATGACGAGATGTGAAAGATGATGAGAATAAATGACCCAAGCGATTGCTGGATCGTGCCCTAGGCCCAAATGGTTTTACTTTTCGGTTTCTTTGAAATTTCTGGGAGATCTTTGCTGGTGATGTTATTGCTGTTGTTCAAGAGTTTTTTTTTGATAAATCGGCTTTCCCGGTGGGGTGTAATTCGTCGTTTGTTACATTGATCCTAAAATCTGATAATCCGCTTCGTATCAATGATTATCATCCTATTAGCCTTATTGGTTTTCAATTTAAGATCATTGTTAAACTATTGGCTAATAGGCTGGCTCCGATTTTACATGATGTTATAAAGATGGAACAATGTGTTTTCCTTAAATCCTGTCAAATTCTTGATGAGCCGCTGGTGGTGAATAAGTTTGTTAGGTGGTTTAAGAAAAAGAAGGAAAAACTTATGATTTTTAAGGTTGATTTTTGAAAAAGCCTATGATTCTTTGAGTTGGGAGTACTTGGATAATATTATGGTGTTTCTTGGATTTGGTGAGAAATGGAGAGCTTAGATTCGGGGCATGTTTTCTATTGCTAGATCTTTTGTTTTGCTTAATGGGAGTCCTGTGGATGAGTTTTAGCTTTTTAGAGATCTAAGAAAATGGGATTTTCTTTCTCCTTTTTTTGTTTATTATAGCTATGGAAGGTCTTCATATTGCTTTAGAGTATACAATTGCAGAAGGGGTGTTCCAGGGTGCCCTATTGGTAACTGATGATGTTCTTATTTCTCATGTGTTTTATGCGAGTGATGTTATTTTCTTAGGGGAGTGGGATGCTTCTAATATTCATAATTTGATTCGTATTTTGAGATGCTTCTTTTTGGTGTCAGGCCTTCATGTTGATCTTGCTAAATCAAAGTTACTTGGTGTAGGAGTTAATTCGTTGGAGTTACTAGTTTAGCTTCTTTTACTGGGTGTTCGGTTTGAGTTCTTCCTTTTGTTTATCTTGGTATTCTGTTTGGATAGTCTATGATGCATCTTAAAGGTTGGCAGGTTAATATTGATCATTTTAAGAAGAGGTTAGCTTCTTGGAAGGTCAAGTTGTTGTCCATTGGAGGCAGTTTGACTCTTAAATCTATTATGGGGAGTTTGGGTATTTTTTTTCTCTCTACTTTTTCGTCTACTTGTCACTATTTGCCATTATTTTAAGGCCTTAAGGGCTCGGTTTTTTTGGGGTATTGAAGAAGGCCAAAATCGAATTCATTGGGTTAATTGGAATTTGATATTAAATTCCTACACTCAGGGAGGTCTTGGGGTTGGTAGTTTGGATGCTTTTAACTTAGCCCTTCTTTATAAATGGAAGTGACAATTTCTTAACGACTCAGGTGCTCTTTGGGTTTAAATGGTTAAATTTTGTTATGGTGATGGTAGGGGTTTTTTGGATGAGCCGAGAATAGTTAATGGAGGAGGGGTTTGGCAAAAAATTATCAGATCTGTTAATCATCTTCATGAGGGTGGTATTATCCCTTCTAATTCTTTGCACAAGGTTGTAGGAGATAGGGTACATACTAGGTTTTGGAAGGATGTTTGGTGTTCAGATATTCCTCTTATGTGCGGTTCGAGAGACTTTTTGCTTTGTCTACTAACCAAGATGCTCGGGTTAGTGAGCTTTGGTCTTCTGTAGGTTGGACTTTCAACTGGCGATGAGGGATTAGATGAGGGGTTGAAACGACTCAATTTGATGATCATGTGGAGTTTTTGTCTCCTATTCGTTTAGGGTTGTTTCCTGATAAGTGGACTTGGGATTTAGATCATTTGGGTATTTTTACTGTCAATTTAGCGAGGAAATAGGTTGATGATATGAGATTACCTCTCGGTAGTCTTCCTACTAGATGGAACCGATTTGTTCCATTTAAAATAAATATTTTTCTCTGAAGAGTTATTTTGGATCGTATCCTGGTTAGAGATTCCTTGTTGTGCCAGGTGTGTCATAATTCGCAAGAAAGTGTGAATGATTTGTTCTTGCTTTGTTCGTTTGCAGTGTAAGTCCGGAGATGGGTAGGGCATTGGCTAGATTTCGATATTCCGACTTTTTCTTCTATCCGAGATATGTTGGAGTGGAAGGATGATAGACCTAATGCTCGTATGGAGGGGGTGATTGTTGAGTCGATGTTTATGGTTGTTATATGAGTGCTTTGAATATTTCATGATGTTTTACTTTTTAGTAGTTCTAAGCCTAGAAAATATAGATTTTTGACTCTATTGTGGAAATTTCTTTTTGTTGGTTTACTTTTCGGAATTCTAAGGCTAAGATCGGTTGGATGATGTAGATGCAAAATCCAATCCAACTTTAATTTGTATCTTCCTCTAGCTCCTGCTAGAGGTTTCAGTTTTTGTTTTTATAAAGTGTGTTGCTGTTATATATATATATATATATATATATATATATATATATATATATATATATATATATAATATATATATATATATATATATATATATATATATAATGATAAAAGAATTTATAAAAAATTAGTTTATCAAAAAAATTGACCATTGAGGGAGTAAAACAAGGAAAGAAACGTAGGGATAGCAAAAAAAAAAACCCATACCCAATATGGAATCCTAAACCTGCACACGTTTTGACTGGGGAATCCCCAAGTTGACCGGTGATGGGGAATCCCCGAATAAAAAAGTGGGGATGGGGATGAGGATACCCCTAATCCCCGATTCTGGACCCGCTTCCGATATATATTAATATATAAAAGTAATACAAAACATATATTTACAGTATAATTTATAATACATAAAATTTAATCCAAGTAACATAACTCGTTAGCAATTACTTGGTTGAAATTATACTTTCTTTTTCTTTTATCTAACTTAAACTCATGTATAAATTTTTTTGATCTGGTTTATCTATTTTACCTCAAATATTACTATGATATTTTTTTTACTTTATTTTTCATGTATTTATTTAAATTTGGTAGAATTTAGTTTATATTTTTTATGCAGTCTATGACTATTTTTATATTTTATAAATTATTTAAACTTATGTTGGTAAAATGAAAATTTAGTGTTTTTCTTTATATAAAAGTTTATAAATTAAAAGACGAAAAGAAATCTCCGATTCCCTGCTAGGGATTCCGTGTCCCCATATAGAGGTTTATTTATATTCCCCGATGGAAATGGAGATGAAGATGGGAATGTGAATTGGGGTCCCATGTATTCGCATCCTTGCCATGTCTAGAGAAACAACGATGGTTTGATGTCTCATGGTGTTTGTCACCGTGCAACTTTGTTGCACCATGGTGTGATGTTATCTTATATATACAGTATCACGTGACAGTTCCGTAAGTGATTTAGGTGTTGTTTGTTTTTTCGAAGCAAAAATATATGAAGTCTGCGGACCACCTCTGCAACCCTCTCTGTAGCAGAAGAGGTGGAACAAACGGTTGCCGCATTTAAAAAAATCCGTTTGTTTTTTAACATCTGCAGATTGTTGCAGTAAGTTAAAGTAAGACGTGAATAGGTTTGAAGCAGCTGGTTTAGTGTTGCGCCACGCAGCACACACGCAACAGTTTTTAAATCAGAAGTCTTCTGAAAAAAAAAAACAACTGCGAAAGGCCAAGTGTTGCGCGTGTACTACGCGACCAACAATAAGAGACCAGAAGAGGTTTTTTTAAAAAAAAAAAAAAAAACAAATAGCACCTTACACACCCTAAAAAAAAAAAAAAAAAAAAGCCCGTTGTAGTAAGTCATTTCTCAACGCGTTACAAAATATATATCACAAAAAAAAAAAAGCCCGTTGTAGTAAGTCATTTCTCAACGCGTTATAAAATATATATCACAAAGATCATGAATTTCGATGCAATTCCAAAGTTCTATGGAAATTTACTCTTTTTCATGTTTCACCAACCATAAGCTGTTTTTTTATTTTTTTGTTAATATAAAATAATAAAAACAAAAAACTTGTTACCTGAAATAATCGAAAAGAATATGTCAAATCATATGTGTATCAAACAATCAATATAATAAACCTTAATTTAAAAAGCAAATAACACAAAATCTTCCCCGTTCATCTTGGATAGATATCGGCCCCATATGGCCCCAGCATGCCAACCGCAAAATTACAGTTGTTTAGAAAGTGAAGTGCCAGACCGACAACCAAATTAAAAATGTCACTCTGCACGTCTACGCACGAACGACACGGATGCATTACCTTTCACCCTGCATCTCGCTTTCAAAACAAAACCCACTCTCTAGTAATATTGTCTCTTATGTCCCATCGGCCACCTCTACCGCCGTCGGCTCACGGCGGTTTCTGACTTGAAACCGACGTCGTTTCACGTTACGTGATCCGTAGCGACGCTTTCATTGCTGCAAACCGAAAACTTCCTTACTTTCTTCGCAAACTTTTGCCATTTATTATTAATCTTAAACTCGCTGTTTGCTTCTCTTTCTCCCTCTAATTATTCCTTGCTTTACAAATACGATCCACTTTCCTGTAAAGATTTAACGTAATTAAAAGTTGCTTTTGGTTTATCTTCTTCGCTTTGGCGCTTTCTTCAATTCCTGACATGAAGCTGAAGGTTCTCTCTCTCTCTCTCTCTCTCTCTCTCTCTGTATACATACTCGCATACATATATGTATAATGATATGGATGTATGTATCTGTGCCTCTGATTCTTTTACTCGATTATGTCTTCTTCTTTTGGGTAACAAAAGGGAAATTGTGGTGTAAAACTCCGTTGCTTTAAAAAAGTTAAATATTTGAAAGTGTGGTGGGGGGATATCTGGAATCATTTTCTATGTGCATGTATCTGTTTAATTGAACTTTTTTCTTTCTCTCATACTTTTCAGGTGATAGTTTGGGTATAAATTTCATCCTCATTTCTTGATAGAAGAAGTCCATACGAGGAATTTTAAGAGTAGATTACTGCAAAAGAAAGCTGAGATAGTTACTGATAGCTCGGTTTGTTACGTCTTTAACTCCACCTCTGGTTTTATGCTCCGATAACCCGAAAAAACGACGACTTTAAAAGGGTTTTGACCCTTCGACTTCCTTCTGCAGCAAATTATAGAGAAAGCGAGGCTGTGAAAATGGTAAAAAGATGCAAAATCATCCTCCTTTGACCTTGATGTTTATGTTTTATGTCTGTTAATTTTATTTTTTTACGAGATAAGTGGATTATGTTTAAATAATTTATAGAAAATTATGGCTCTGTTCCAGTTACAGAGTTATACTTTGACCTTATTGAGTCGTATCATTTTGTTTCAAACTTAAAAGGTTCAATGTAGAGATTTTATTTATATATAAGATCATATATATCTGTTTGTAATGGGTTTCTGATTTTCCTAAAAAATGAAGAACACACATATATCAAATTTTTTCAAAAATAACCGATTTGACTTCCAAAATTCAAACCTTATAGAGTGGAACAACTGTGTTTCACATTTAAATTTTGTATAGGACTTGGTTACAAAATGTAACATAACATGTTACAAAATTCCATTATAAAAATTGATAAATGCTGGTATGGATTTTAAATCTTTTATGATTAAAATCACTTTGATTGGCTCTCAAAAGTCAATACTACCCATGTTCCATAAACATGATCTGAGATATTTTATGATCTTGACTTCGTTATTTTTTTCAAAATTTCAGGTCTCTCTTCCGTCTGATTCTCAAAGTAGAAGAACCATAATCAAACTCATTATCATGGCATCTTTAATTTGTGGTCTATATCTCATGGGAAACCCATTCTTTGCACATGACTTTAAAGTAAGTACATTTTCCTTTCATTTGTCTATTTACCTTTGATTCTTAACAATATCAAAGGCGAGTAACGTAATTTCCCGTTGTAGATTCCACAAAAATCAAAAATGGAGTTGAAAGATGCTGAAAAATGCAAGGTTTTTATCATTCATCGATAAATATTAAAGTTTTGAGTTTTCTATACTACTAAAGCTTACACTTAAAGTTTCCCTATTGTTTTAGAATCAGTGTAGGCCTCAAGGGACCGATGTGTTACCCGCAGGAATTCTTGCCAAAACTTCTGACTTGGAGATGCGCCCTCTATGGGGTTCGGATCCTGATAATGTAAGTTATGCAATCAAGCTCGGGTTTTAATTAATACATGGGACAATGTCACTAAATAATAACCAAGTTTTATACACACCTCAAACTTATTTCAAGGGATTTAACCATTGGTTTTGTTCATGTGTTATGTAGTTTTGTACCTTTTTGTTCCTTTATTATACTTTTTTATATTTGTTGTGTCGTTGGAACAATTTCGTTATAAAATGATTAAGTTTGAGTTTTGTTCTAATGTTTTTGAAGTGTTGAAATATTGAATATTAACTTTATATAAATATATTTACAACATTAGAACAAAACTAAAACTCCGTAAATATCCAACAACATTGTTTTGATAAACTAGACATGTCTCCGTCATGTGTCTACATCAGTGTCATGTCACCAAAAAGAATACAAACCTTGTAATGAAAGGAGGGTTAATAGTACTTTAATGGTCCCATGCAAGAAGAAAAAAAATTGTGATAAGGGAACCAAAGAAATACAGGAATTGAATGACATAGGAATTAAAGTTAAAGTGGTTATAAAAGAAGTTTGAGAGAGAGGGAGAATTTTGTAATAAGAGAACCAATGAATTGCAAGAGTTTAATGAAATAGAAAGTTAAAGTGGTTATATCTCTTTAAAAGAAGTTTGAGAGAGAAATTTTGTAACAAGGGAACCAAAGAAATACAAGAATTGAATGAAATAGAAAGTTAAAGTGGTTATATCTCTTTAAAAGGAGTTTGAGAGAGAAAAAATTTTAATAAGGGAACCAAAGAAATACAAGAATTGAATGAAATTGAAAGTTAAAGCGGTTATATCTTTAAAAAGAGTTTGCGATATGCTGATGTAAGATGTTTGAAACTTTAATGCTATATATTATATAATAACCTTGTGCCTTAATAGTTCATTGGTTAATAAAAATTGCAACCTTTTCTTTTCTGGAACATTTTTTTATTGAAATGACCTATTTGCCTATGGCTATGGTTACAAAAAAAATATATGATGATATTGATGTGGGTTCTTTTATTGAAAGTAGGACTTAAGTAATTATTACATGTTTGGTCTTTTATATATGACATTCATTTTGATTCAGAACAATTCAAGCCTTCCTGTCAATTTGCTGGCGATTGCAGCTGGAATAAAGCAAAAGTATTTGGTTAATAAAATTATAACAAAGGTGATCAATCATTCGATTAATTACTTGTTTCTACTTATTTACATGTGCACCTGTGAGTGTGACTTATCAAAATTATTTGTTTGTTCTTAAATATCATTTTTGCAGTTTTTAGAAAATGGGTTTGTTGTAATGGTGTTTCATTATGATGGTATTGTTGATCAATGGGATGATTTACAATGGTCCAGTCGTGTCATTCATATTTCAGCTGCAAACCAAACAAAGTGGTAAAATCCTTTTGCCCTTTTGGCTTTTCATTTAACTTTTTATATCTATGCATGTGATCGAACTTGCTTTCTTTCTTTTTGTATTGTTGTTGATGTGTTAGGTGGTTTGCTAAACGTTTCTTGCACCCCGACATAGTTGCAGAATATGATTACATTTTTCTTTGGGACGAGGACCTTGATGTTGAACATTTTAATCCAAGTCGGTACGTACGTTTAAATTAATATTGTTACACAGAACTAGACAAGCTTTCTAGGGTTTTTTTGATGATTGTGATGAAAAAAGTATTCATATCTTTTGCATAGTCAAGAGATCAAAAAAGAGTCCCTATCCCACCACTAGGTGCTCAGCCCCCCTAATCTTGTATATTTTAATAAGCCCACCATAGTTGTACCATATCATCTATTGAGCAAATATCATTAATTAGAGTTTTTATTTTGTATCACAAAAAGAGATATTTACATAATTAGTCCTTTCATATTGTCTTGCTCGGTCAATTAAACTTTTTATATTGTCTTTCTATAACTAGTCAACATCTAACACATACATTTCCAATACCACAATATAAATACATTATTCACATATATTACTATTATTACATACTTTTCTGTCTCTTATTCTTTTATTACTAAATAATTAAAAATATAACTAGATATTTACATTTATATCATTTTTTTTAGATTCACTTATTATTTTAAAAATATATGATTAAAAGTGAAATACAAAAAAAAAATTAAAAAAAGAATAAAAGAATAGTTGTTATTTTTATATAGATTATTTTTTTCTCAATCAATTTTCTTTTTTAAATTAAATATTTTATTATATTGCTTGGAAATAAAATATATTTTTATATATTATTTCGATGTACGTCACCCTTATTAAAAATCCTAGTTTTGCCCTATGCCGTTATAATTTTTGTCTTATTGGCATTTGTCCTGTTCTAGTCTTGTACACGTCAAACACAGTAAAAAATCGTGATCCTTGAGTCACAAAAATATAACTTTATGAGTTGCTATAGGTTCATCCTTATAAACACGATCATGTATTGCATGAAAACTTCATATCTTTAATCTTATAAATGAATTCATGTGTAGGTATATATCAATCGTTAAAGAGGAAAAACTCGATATATCACAGCCAGCACTTGATCCTTCAAAATCAGAGATTCATCACCAAATTACCGTGCGTAGAAGAAACTCAAAAGTTCACAGGTATTGATGTAAACAAAATATCATTTTCCATCGTAGACTGGACTCTTTGTAGAAGAACAACCCTTCAGCATAAACAATCTAGCATTTTTGTGTAGATGCAAAAAAGATTAAACACCGATTTTGTTTATGATGTCAACAGGAGGTATTATAAGCTTAGAGGTGGTGGAAGGTGTTATGGCAACAGCACAGGTCCACCATGCATGGGGTAATGTTTTACTTCAATTTAACGTATACAGAAAACAAAGGATTCTTGTATTTACGGTGTTTTTCATATTGCAGATGGGTAGAAATGATGGCTCCAGTATTCTCAAAAGCTGCATGGAGATGCTCATGGTATCTGATTCAGAATGATTTGATTCATGGATGGGGCATAGATTTTCAGCTAGGCTATTGTGCTCAGGCAAATCACAAATCTTTGCCTAAATAAAATTCTTCCATTATTAGCTCTTGTGATGTTGGTTCTAACTAAAATTAAAAGTATATTATTACAGGGTGACCGCAAGCAAAAGGTTGGTGTGGTTGATGCTGAATACATAGTTCATTTGGGCGTCCCTTCTCTTGGTGGTGCAAACCATGTAAGTATTGTTTCTGACACTGTGCTAGTACTGATACTGATACTGATACTTATTTGATACTTACTGAGACTGTTATACATCAAAAGGTGGAACACAACGTGGGACGGGATATATAGTTTATGTTGTTCCGTGGTTTCTAATATTTTTTATTTTTCATTTAACTAGGCGAGCAAAATGTCAATAACTAATCATGTAACTGCAAAGAATTCAACATTAGATACACACAATATTCTCCTTCCGGTATAAGTCTTAGACCTCAACTATTTATCACTTTCTTTTGCATGTTTTTTTATTCATAATGTCTGTGTTTAATTCTTAATTTCAGTCGAACAGTAGTGATCTCCCTGCTGGCGATGAAAGATCTGAGGTATGTTAACCTCTTGGAAGTGCTCTTAAGCCTTTTTAGCTGAAACATTGCTTTATGCTTCTTTTGTGGAACCTTAAGGCAGCATTTGTTACATTGGACCTTTTTATGGTTATTTTTTTTTTTTATCATTATGATGATGCTGATGAGGACATTTATGTCTTTTACAACTACGAGGATCGATAACAATTCTCTGCCCCACCTTTTGGGTCCCATTGGCATCAGTCTCAATCCTAGTTTGATGCAAATTGTTATGTTTTATTTTTGTCTTGTTGTGCATAACAAATGAGACATCTTAAAAGTAAGGACTGTTTTTGACATTTCTCCTCATCGTCTTTGTTACAGGTGAGGAGGCAATCGTATAACGAAATGCGGGTCTTTTGGCGTAGATGGGACAAAGCGGTCGAAAATGACAAATGTTGGGTTGATCCATATGCAAATTGACAAAAAGGAAAAAAGTTAAAGAAATGTATTTCAAGATCATGCTGGAAAAGATTGCTACAACCTCCATTCATGAATTTTTTTTTTTTTAACAAAAGTTACGAGCTGGTAAAAGGTTATATTTGGGATTTCTGATTACGGCTCGTGATGGGATGGAAATCGATGGTATATATACATTTATGATTGTAAGTATTTTTTTTTTTTTTTTTTTTTTTCTATTTTGATGTTGGTGTTTGGCAGAAATTAGTAGT